ACTGAAATCCCTTTGATCACGTGCCCCCCTCAAACCACGCCTAACGGCATTTCCTTATTTTCAAAATAATCTCAATTCATAAACTGCTCGTCAAATGCCCTTGACATAATCAATCCATGTAAACAAATGTTTCGGAAATAACGTCTTATTTATCCCAACATTACAAACTCTGCTTGAAATGACCAAAACGCCTCAGATGCACTCCCTGCAAAACAAACAGACTATGTGGCCCGTTAGTGGTTAGTTGATGCAAAAAAAATGAGATGCTATGCGATATGTATCGGTTAAATATAAGGGTAAAATTTTGGGGTATTACTTGAACTATAGTGGTTTCAACAGCAAGGAGGTGAGATCCTAAGGTCAAAAATTAGGGTGCAACACTCCCCACAAACTTGGATGGCAAGCTAAGCATTAAGGAAACTATGATCATAAAAATGGAATTCTCAAACTGTTAATGAATCCAAACAGGCTTGATAGAACTAAAGCATATTCCTAAATGTCACAATGCTTTAATAGGTTTGGCATAGATCACAGTCTAAACAGCAGCCAACACCCAACATACCAAACCACATACATGAATTACTGACAAAAGGCAAGGTCTGTTCATATCAAAATGCAAAAACTCATGATGAGTTTTGATGGAATAACTTAGATTTCAAAATAATGTTTGGCAATATATTTGCAACTGTCATAACCCACATAGTTCCAAAAGGAAGATCAAAACATTGCAAAGTTCAAGACATCCTACAACTATCTTATTATCCACTTTAAAATGACAATTTCTAACTCTAAATAAATTTTAGTTATGAAAACATATTTTTAAATAATAATGACCAAGAGCTCAATGTAACCATGCCAATCCTTATATGTTTCAATCAGCATCCATAAGCACTTTCACAAAAGTAGAACATATCCATATTGTCCTAATGACAGTCACCACCAAATCCTAACATGAGAACCAAACTCTATCAGCAAAAGTCATGAGCTGACCAACACTCCACAACCCAAAAGTGACAACTTGATCATCATAATGCCACACAAACAAATGCTAAGTCCTCAAGACAGTTACAAACTCAAACTGATGCTAAACTGATCCAAAATTATGAACAAGGTCAAGTCTTTGCCAAAGGGAAACATCTACCATCATAATGTTAAAATTCGAAGCAACCAAACTAAACTTGCTCATGCTGACAGTTCCTTAAGCTAAGACAGTTTTGGATGCTAATGAACATACACTTGGCATAACAATGTCACTGCCTAAACCTACCATGCACTTCAAAAGCATATTTCCACCAAAGTAACAAATGTACTTCTTATCCTAATCACAGTCTAGCAGCAAACACACATGGTTTTGACAAAACCAAACCTCACATAACTTGGGACAACATAAATAACAAACTTTAGCATGACAATGTTAAAACACAATCCACGCATACATGATGTATAATGATGAGAAAGTTGAAAACTACATACCTTTTGTAGTCTTCCCACACTTAATGCTAAATAAAAGCAAGAACTCCTTCCTTATATGCAAGCTTTGAGATTGTTACTTCTTCTTGAAGAAAAAGAGGCAATCTTGTGGACAGATCTCACAAATAAACTTCCAGCTGTGGTTTGAGGTTTTGGACAGTTAGTATGACTATAATGGAAGGTGTTCAAAGTGCCACAATGATGGAAAATGGCTTGAGTAGTGATTGGCATGAAATGTGCATAAAAGTCAAACTTGAGTGTGTGAGAAGTTAACTTTTAGATTTGTGGTGTTTTTTATGAAACTATTTATTGGAATAGCTTCAAATGGTAATTTTAAGATTGTTTGGATGGTTTTTATAGTGGTTTTATGGCTAGAAATGATGCTGGTGTGAAAAATGCAAAGAGGCAATTTTTGGTGGTTTTGTGAAATTTCTTCACTTACAAGTAAAGAGGGAAAGAATGAGAGCTATGTGTTTATGATTTTTTGGATAGCTATGGTGTGTTGTATACAATGGGATGAAGCCTCTATTTATAGGCTAAGAGAAGAGTTGGGGCAGATTTAGATTTTGGGTTTTGGAGGGAGATTTTGAAAGGAAAATTTGTCCAAGATTTGGT